CCTGAGGCGACCTCGGCCTTTATCTCAAGGCCACTCAAGGACAGAGCCACCTTTACCGGCTGGAAGACGGAAGGCTGGGTCCGGTGGCTCTCTGGCTTGCGCGGCGAATACGAAAGGCGCATGCAGACAATGTGCACCCTTCTCGAGGAAAACGCTTACCAGTTAAAGCAGTCAACACCCGTGCGTGACTCTGACTGGGACTGGGGCGTCATAACGAAGACCAAGCTGTACGAGTTCGATTGGCCGCGCGGTGGCATGTTCTTATGGCTGAAAGTTCACTTCGAGGCCCATCCGTTGTTTGGGGCCGTAGGGTCTCAGGGCAACGTGATCGACGGGCCGGCGCTCTCGTCTGCGCTCATGATTTTCCTGACGCACAAGCCCTTTCTCGTTCTCGTGAGCCCTGGCATGATGTTTAGTGCCACACCGGAGATCGCTCAGCGGCGAGGTTGGGCCTACTACCGTCTGTGCTTTGCTGCCGAGACAGACGAAATGAACAGCGCCTGTTCGACCCGTTTCGGACAGGGCGTGCAGAAATTCTGGCGCATCAAGAAGGTTGCTGAGATTGAGGCTCTCCTGGAGGAGTCAGGGATGACTACTGAGGCCGAAGAGATTGAGGGTTTGGCGAACTTGATGGGCTGCTAGATTTTTAGATTGGTGACATTGGATAGATACTTGGCCTACGCTCATAGGTACCGTGTAACCGGACCCCCCCTTATTACGACCAACGCGATTGGAATACTACCTAAGGATCAGTTATAGCCGTTCCGATTATATATAGGTGTTTTAATTACATTGAGTTTTAAGAAAAGAAAATACTCTTTAAGAATTCCGCATCTATAACAGGATCATGTCTCTACTTGTTGTCCTGATTTACGGAAAGCGAGAGAGCGGGGTTAATAGGGGTTGAATATTGACAGATCAGATGCACACAACACATGCGCCACAACCCTGTTTCGTATCACATACGGAATATACACCAACCATGTGCCAACGAACATTACCTATCAATCTACTGTCTCGGGAAACCCAGCCTGTAGGAAGGCAAAGCGGTTCTTTCAAGTGATAGGAGGTATATCAGAGCCGAAGTCAATTTATAGCATAGCATCTGCATGCGCTTCCAGCACATCTTGCGGCCATCGTGAGAAGTTCTTAATCATGACAAGTGTCGAGTTTTTGGGTGGTTTGGTACCTATATCTCTGGGTAATTCGCGTTGCACAAATGCTACGATAGTGAGTTTGGATGAGCCAGACATTGGGTGAGACATTCACCCCCAATTGTGTAATGAGGACTTTCATATTAAGTATTCGAGCATGGGAGGAGGGTAAATGCAGAAGTGAATGGTAGGTTCACGACACTCCTAAGAGAGGTTTCGACGATATCTATACACTTCCATTAAGTAAGAGATATGGGAAAGCGGATCTTAGAATGCGTAATGGTACTGTCCGCTGATTGATACTTCGGACTTAATTTTTTTACACCATCCATGGGCAATTATGGCATGACTAGGATCTCGGAAGATGTTCTGCTCGATTCGTAGATAGTTAATGTGAATCCAATTAACCTTTCTACCATTGGTCTGGCGTATCGGTTGGATGGAGAACGGGAGAACATGTAGCCAATGTAAAACATTGAACACCATAGACCTACTTGTCAATTGGTGTTTCATTGTACGTGAGTGTCTTGCCGGCTCCAACTAAAACTCCGAACGATAAGGATGTGTACCTGTTAGAGTTAAAGAGACATTAGATTTAACGATGGGATTATCTTGTCACTGGCTGGGTCCTAGCCGTCATCTAGTTTCACGATTTCATGCAAAAAGACGAAAGACGAATTTGGGCGGAGAAATGTTCATAATGACAATTCCATTGATTCATGAGACCCCACGACCCCGTTACGCCCATTACAATCGCAATCCAATGCTATCCCCTTAACCGTTTTCTTAGAAAAGCTGCTCACCAAGCTGATCTAATTTAATCCTCCTTCAGGACCTTGAGGAAAGACTCAGGGGTCTTTAGGGGCTTACCAGCCTCCTTCTTCTGTTGACCAAGCTCATTCTTGACGAATGCCGAGTGGTAGGGGTTGAAGCGTAGCATAACCTGCTTGTTGCGCAGAGGGTTCTTCTGAACAGCAGCGCGCTTGGTCAGCGAGCCACCCTTGGGGGCGCGGAGGACGCTCTGGATTTCGGAGCTGTTAATCAGACGTGTCAAATCGGCCTGAGAAACGACGTTCGAAGGTAGGAGGAAGTCCTTCTTGAGCTCAGAGGGTGTGGTGGTGGTGCCGTAGATGCTGTCAAGGGCCTTGAAAGCAGCCGAGGTCCAGACGATGAATCGACCGAGGTGACCACCAGGGGCCAGCTGGAGAAGGTTGAGAGCGTAGACAGGGCAGGTCTCAACACCGGGTAGGTTGCGGGTACCCTTGACGAGCTCGGTACCATCAACCTCGGGGTCGTAAATGACTAGGGGTCCACGGCGCTGGCGGTGACGACGGCCACGCATCTTACCCTTACCAGCTCGCAGCTTCTTGGACTTCTTAGCCTTGATGACATCGGCAGAGGCGCCTACGGCGGAAAGGATAGCGAAAGCGTTGGCGGTCTTAGCGGCAGCACCTCCCTCAAAGACAGCAGAGTCGACGACCAGGGGAACCTCGGGGACGTTGGAGATCTGGTGGCCACGGGCGAGGAGGAGAGGGGCGACGGCAGAAGCGGCAAGAGCAGAGGCGGTAGCGAATCGCCTTCTCATTGTTAGTTTCAATCCTATTCAACGTGAAACCGCTTTGGAGCCGGCACTCACTTTTGGCCCTGGTTGATCTTGATGTGCCACTTCCTCCAGATCTTGGTAGGGGCGAACATGCGACCGGAACGGCACATGTTACCGAAGGCAGCCTGACCGGCACGGTGAGTACCACCACCAGAGACACGAGGAATACGAGCGACAGCGCGACCTGGGCGTCCGTGTCAGCAATTTCTTCATATCGCCGGTTGATCCCTATGTATGCCAGTCGCATGCCATTGCGAGCGTCCGTCTCAGAAAGGGTGGGCAACTAACCAGTTCCCCAGGACTCGGCAGAGGTCTGGTGACCGGCCTTCTCGCTCACGGCGTAGGGCTGGCGCTTGTTCTTAGCCATGCCGGTATGGACCTGCTGGACAATATCGGGTCGGATGGGCGAGGCGAAGACGGTGGGGATGGGATGAGTAGCTCCCGAAGGAGTACCATCTTTGCCGATGATGGTGACAGTCGGTCTCGAGGCCATCTTGAAGTCGCTGGGCTATATGTGAAGGGTTAGTAAAGCGCGGCGGGCGGAATTGAGCAGGCGAGGCCCTGATTCTGTGCTGTGGACGGCGTGCGTACCTCGACTTGGTGGTTGACGGTCTAGAGAAATTTGGTTGGTGATAATTTCTCAAGTCGAAAATTGACGTTCAATGTCCCCAAATTAATTTTGTGTGGGAGTGGAGGGCTACTCGGCTTCGCCTGCTGACAGCCGTCAGACACCCTGTCGGTCCGTACTTAAGTGCTCTTCTAAGGTCTAGCCTTGCAGCCAATTAGAATGCACGTATCTAGTCTAGATATTTCACATGACTCTTGCGTCATCCCTCATACATGTGCCATCAGATTTTCTGAAGGCATACATTGGCGGAAATTTAGCAATCGCTTCCAAATCCTATCATGAACAATGGTGTTGAAGTGTAATTAGGGTGATGATACGGCTGTGGAGGACGAAATAGATACATCATGAGCGTATACACTAGGTAGGCTATGCACAAGATTATTCAGATCCAGGACCGGCCACTGATTTCCCACGGAAACTATTTACCATAACCCTCACTATCTGCAGAGCGAAACACAGGCCTTATTCCTAGCGATGGTAATGTGGCCATAAAAAGTCTGCAACAACTGCCACCGAAGCAATCATACGGACAGGTGAATTACCGACACCGTATTTCGACTAAAAGCCGTGGACCTTGATTTTCTTGGGGTCAAGCTCCAAGCCGTTGCGGTCGACAAGGAATTCCTCTACGCGGAGATTAGCCCAACTGTATCTGGTCGTTGGAAGCGTTTAACAAGGGGCTACATACGCATAACCTTGCGTTGGTCTCCTTGCAGTTGAATCACTTCGCCCATGTTACTGTCAACCACGACAGTACCATTGCAAGCGAATTTCTTCTTGATGACCGTGAGAATCTTCTTTCGGTCAAACTTGGTGGGCAAACCCTGAACCGTGGTCAAGGTTTTGCGACCATTGCGCTCTAAGTACATCGGTCAGCCGCGCCGCACAAACTCAGGATGGAGCAACCGTAGCGGGGAATACTAACGCTGGATCCGAATGTGGATGTAGTCCTCTTGCTGGCCCTTCACTTGGCTCGTGTCTTCATCTGCTTCAGCATCGTGGAAGGGATCTAGGCACATGGTGACGCATTAGTGGGGCTGTCAAAGGCTCGTTAGCCTAAAGGCTGACTGAGGCTGCATACCAAAAGACTTAAGGTTCTCGATGGACATCTATGGTACGAGGCTTTCAAGCAACTTGAAAGACGATGGTATCAAGAGTAATCGATTCTCTAGACTAGTATTGGCGCAGGATAGGTAGTTTCTCAGGATGTTGAGGTATAATGATTCGGGCAATAGATAGATCAGATGAGTGGCAAGATAGATAATTAGACAAGGAGGAATCAGGAGACAGAGGGTGGGGTAAGGTAAGCCGACAGGGAATGCGATAGATAAGCTTCCATGCTTTAGCGTACGCACCCCGCCATGCATATGATATCCCGATGTTTATCCAGTTTGACAGCCTCAACAGCCCCTCATTCAACTCAAAGAAACTTTATTCTTTGTGATCCTCGATAGTACATTAATCAGGTAACGAGCAGTTGGTCTCTTATTTGGAAGAAAACAGGTTCATCTATGTATACATCTTAGGAACGTGCAATATGTATAAAAAGCTGATTTTACTTAGCCTTGGGGCTAGGTATATAGATACAGCTAAAATCAAAGAACCTAACAATCAATCCGAATTGGTGTAGTGGCCAACATTTGACGCTCTCATTCTAACACAATGTAGAAATCCGTCAAGCCCGGGGTTCGATTCCCCGATTCGGAGTATTGAGATTGTATTTTTCTAGTTTTTTGGTTTTCTTTTTTTTACGGTGTCCTTCTCACTTTCGGGTTTTCCTTTCTCTTCAGCGCAAAGTCTGTTAGCTGCGTGATCCTATCTTTGATAACATGATTTACTAGGCACCTCAGGCAAACCTTGGTTGGTACTATCCTTCCTGCTTTGCCAACAAGAACTTGTCTGCATATACATGATTGTATGTTTTATCATAAAGTACTCAACATACGTTATTTAGTTATCGTGGGTATATAGGGCGATTGCGTTAGATTTCCAGCCATATCCGTCCTACATACCTATCGAGTAATCAGAACCTATGTTTCCCTCCTTTTCCTGAACCATGTCAACGACTGCCCGAGTTATGTTGCAATATTGACAAGTTGTTGTAAAAGCAACATGTTGTTGGCTGTATTCGAATCGTCGAGGACGGTCTGGGCCAATAGTTACCGCGCAGGGAACACTGCATTTTCCTGTGGGTTGAAATTGCAACGACTACTGAAAGCGACCCGAACAAATGAGTAAGTAGCGAGTATACCGAGTGATCCGACAGACGTTGGATCCGTATTTACCTACCGTGTTGAGAAGCCTTCACATCCAATGTAACATTAAGAACGGTGTAGCTGTGACCTACAGGTGGCATGTTTAAGCGACCAACGAGAAGTTCGCCGCGTTCCCATCGGCACGTACGGCTGGTACCTAATGCACTTAGGATCAATAGTTTCTTGAGTTACTGCGCGCACAATGTTGTAAGAATACAATCTAAGCAGAGCCACGGTCGGATAGAGATACTGTAAGTTACACTACAAATCATGCAAATAGGATAATACAGTATCCATTCATATAGCATTCATCAATTTTTCTATATAGTTTAAGCGTTTCTATACCGAAAATTCTACCAGGGCCGGTCCCATATCTAAGGTTAAAACAGCTGTAATTTGTCTCGGAGTATTTCTAGTTGTCAATTTTCTAATAAAGACATTTTCAAGGGACGCTAAACACATGGCAAACTACTATGTAAAGTCTTTATGAGAATTGTGGCGACTAAACCCGCGAATAGTTCCCGCGAATGCGATAAGCGAAATGGACGGTGTGGTATATTTAACCCCATCAACGTCCTGGCTGAGACCATCTCCAAATTTACGGTGCCATTTTAATAACTACAGCATAGTAAGCAAGAACATGACCTCCGAGACTCTATTAGTTATGATACAAATGCTGCTTCAGTCGTCTTAGCGGCTTCACTACTTAAGGAGACTTATACTAATTGTACAGGTTGAGGGCACAGCATCAATCGTGACACGGGATAACTTGAAGCTCCTCTGGGCTGATGCTGACGACCAGCGCAAAGATCTAGCGCAATCTAGCCACGCGAGGGTCTGACCGGGGTAGAGATCCGACAGGGGTTCTCAAAATTGAGGCTACCCGTTGCGGCTTTCAATCCTAGTTCGCACTCGTTCTTAATTGAGATGCTCCATTCTCGGTAGCACAGCGTAGCTACCTACTATATTCTTGTTCAAACCACTTGGATTGGATTCTCGTGATTCGGGTGCGGGATGCACGCATGCGCATTTCTAGTTACCTAATTATGCTGGCCTGTGAATTTGAACAGCCCAGAGTTACTGGGATATTATCCTCCGAAACAAATGGCCTGACCTGTCTCTCGTGGAAATACCGAGACATTTGGGGATCTATCACCGCCTTGCACGCCACGAGGCTAGACCATAGTCTCATCAGTACCTGCCCAACTCAGAAGCCAAGTATTGTCAAGCTGAAAAAAAGCCCTATTATTTAGAGCTATTTTCTCGCCATCTGATTACCTATTCGTCACCTCAAGGACACTATCGCTGTTTGACAGGATCGACCCCCGCAATGCTAGAGGGCTGGCTGATTCCGGGGTGTCTATACTACATTTGTTATGGTGCCCTATCTTCCCGAAGAGACGAGCGTGGACCATTGAAAATTGCCCGATAGTGATGTTCTTCATCTAGGTACAACGGTTTGAAGACGTGAGTACCTATACCATACACTTATTCCCAATTTAGACAAGAACTTCGAAGAGCCTCAAGATCGAGACTGATCAACGAACCGCCCACGTTCAACAAGCAACCGGGGTCGGGCGGATCGTAGTTCGGGTAAGGTCTTCATTCAGGTCGGTAGGTCCCGTGGACCCTGAAAATCGCCTGAAAAAAACCCTTGTGTGGATCCTTAGGTAGCATCATAATCCCAAGTGGGTGGTCACCTTGTCTAATATTTCACCTCTGCTCCTTAACATTGCATACTATCGAGGTAGGAATACGCACGACACGTAACTGTCTCGGTCTCCAGCGTGGCTGCATTAGTTATTTCGTCCCACCTCTGCGGCTGGACGCTCGGCGAGCAGATCCATCCAATCCCGTCGTAGCTATTAGCCACTATTCTCAGTCCTCGTATTCCATCTGCGCTGCTTCGGTACACGAACAGGGATGGTCAAGCCAAGGCTGATAATATTCGAAGAAAAAGTAGGTATGCCACTCAAGTACACCAAAGTAACCACCAATTTCTGGTATTAAAGCCCTTGCTTCCCCTTGCCTTGTGTTGTGCTCATTCATGATGATTCTTCGTCGGCGTCGATTTCCCCTAATTTCGTCAGACTGGGCGTTGGGATAAATGGTGGTCCCTCGTTAATCCTACTAATTCCTAATACTACTTGATTCTGGGCCCGTGCCAGGATAAGTCCTCGCCATGCGTTGGAATACACATTTCTTGTCCGCGATGCTCTCGCTGAGCACGCTGACAAGCGCAGATCCAACATGGCCTTCCCAGAATGACGAGTTGGAAGAAATCATGTATCAAGTAAAGGGTTACCGCGCCCGACAATTCGGCGGAACCGTCATACCCTGCTCAAGTCAAGCTTCAGGGCCTGGCCGTCATAACGCCGCGGAGTGGTTGAGGGCTGCTTTCCATGATATGGCAACCACCACCATTATTGGCGGCCCACGACAGGGCGGTCTGGACGGGTCACTACAATACGAAATAACAAGCTCGGATAACATCGGTCCGGCCTTCAACACCACGCTCAAGTTCATGGCCGACTACTACACAAGTAGATCAAGTGTGGCCGATCTTCTTGCTATGGGCGTGTACTATGCTGTGAGATCGTGTGGTGGTCCGGTCGTTCCCGTCGCCGGCGGTAGGATTGATGCTAAACAAGGTGGCCCTATTGGTGTCCCTCTACCCCAGAACTCAGCCTTCACGTTCGGGCAACAGTTCACGCGCATGGGATTCGACCAGACAGAGATGATTCAAGTTGTTGCGTGTGGGCATAGTATTGGCGGAGTTCACGAGACCGAATTCCCCCAAATTGTTCCAGTAGGCACTACAGCAAATGGCGAGGCACCAATGGACTCTACCGTAGATGTGTTCGACAACAAGATCGTCACTGAGTATGTCTCTGGCAACACAACGAACCCCATGGTCGTCGGTCCTTCGATTCAAGCTACCAGAAATTCCGACTTCAAGGTTTTCAACTCGGATGGAAATGCGACGATATCCACCATGGCAGACCCTGAGACTTTCCAAAGCATTTGTGCCACGGTATTGCGCAAAATGATTGAAGTAGTCCCTGATGATGTCGTTCTGACTGATCCTATTCAACCTTATGCCGTTAAGCCAGTTGAAATGCAGCTCACGCTGAACCCTGGAGCTTCGACCTTGCAACTGTCTGGGTTCATACGAGTCCGCACCACCGACTTTGGAGACGACTCTGCCGAAAGCGTGGTACTGACCTACAAGGACCGAAGTGGTGGCGATAATTGCGGTACCCTGAGTTGCACGCATACCCTTACTCTTCTAGGGGCTACCGAGGGCTTCGACGACAAGTTCGTGGTAAGTCTATCTCATATTGCTTTAAGCTGTATCTTGCGTAACTCCGTTTAACACGTATTTTAGTGGTTCCCTGTGAACTTTGAAATCCCGGCTGCCTCGGGTATCTCCTCTTTCACTTTGACCGTCAATATGGCCAGTGGAACGTCGGAGACTTATGACAACAACGGCGATTCGTATCCCATACAGGATGCTATTCTTATGCAGATGCCTCAGAGCTGTCTTCTTCAAGGCAAATTGGACGTTGTGGCAGCAGTGAGCTTGAACTCTATCCGGCTTGATCACTGGGTACTATACTGACGTCCTGAAATAGGTCCGCAACGACCTTAATAACTCGGCTCCCGTCAACCTACATCTGTCATATAAGACACCCGTAGCCGATCCGAACCGCCCGGTTCCCACTCTAAACGATGAAACCGTGGAAATGAAGAAGGGCACCTGTGTCGGCCTGTACACATTTTATACGGCTAGCTATGAAGGCCTTGGCGACCTTGATTATGCTACCAAGATCGACGTAGTCACCGGGACTGGCACATCGGCTTCGCGAGATACCTTCAAGGCAGCAAGTAGCCTTGGAGCAACTTGTATGGCATTCCAAGCCCCGCCGGCTTCAATGTGCTCTCGTGCGGATGATCCCGACCCGCCAGTGGAAACCTCCACGTCAGTTACTGTGACCCCAACTGTGACCTCTTCGGGAACAGTCACAAGCACTGGGGCAGTAGAGACGCCTTTCCATAGACCGGCTCTGGGAAATTTCACGCTCGCTGGCTGCAACACGGAGCCGACGGCCGCGGGCGCTCGCGCTCTAGCCGGCGCCAGTTACGTCTATGATGGGATGACACTGGAGAGCTGCATGAACAACTGCACAGGATTCTACTACTGGGGCACGGAGTTTGGACGTGAATGTAAGTTGTCTCTCGGATACTCTTAGGGGCAGAAACGTGGAGTTATTTTACTAACCTTATATAGGCTATTGTGGCAATAAGGTGCATGCGTCCAGCACAAATGTCACACTTGATGAATGTAATGTCGTGTGCTCTGGGGATGAGACAGAATACTGCGGCGCAGGCGACCGACTCGAATTATACGTCACTACAGGCCCCATCCCAACACCTACTGGTACCCTTGCG